GGTGGAAACCATTTTGATCACTTTTGTTTCAGCACCGTTTTCCCGACAGTTACTCTGTACAAAACCCAACATAATGCTCAAGGGGGCCAATGTCACAGGATCTATCTATAAACAAAACATCCATATATGTTTCCTGCAGTTGCCTACCCTACCAAGTTCTGGCGGCAGCACAGTTAGCCGGTTCCCTTGGATGTGAAGCTCTTTTAGTTTAGGCAGGTCCCCAATGGCTTTGGGCAGAGCTATCAGCTGGTTGTCTCTCAAAGCAAGCTGAGAAAAAGAAAAACAATTGATGAAAAGACAATGAAACACAATCTTGCTGAATCCAATGGCGTCAAATAGTGAGCAATTACTGTTGAATTCTGCATGTTGATCTAGGATCTGTTCCTTTAGGTGTTGAATGCAAAAGTTTTCATGCTTTGGTGTCAATAATTCCTGTTGGATTCCGCAGTGTGCCAGGAATGCTTAGCGTGGAACCAGTTACGAGTCAGTCGAGGGCAATGTGCAGTGCATGGCAACTTGGCTGTTCACCAAGTTTTGCTAAGTGAGATTTAGCAAATCTCTGCTTATCACATTTAGCCCCTGAGGTTATTTCCTTGAGCTGTATGACACTCTCTGTAATCACAAACTTTCTCTGAACACGGTGGCAGAGTTGCCAGCTCAAGTGACTTGCATTCACATGTCTTTACTATAAAATACTGCTACACTCTTAGCATAGTAATGCAAAGCTGGGAACCCCAACTCACCACTTCCAGTTTGGTCAGCTGACCAATATCCTCAGGAATAATTTCAAAGTCGTTGTCAGAAAGGTACAAAGCCCTCAGCGTTTCTGAAAATTCAAGAACAACAAAATGGTGAGTGTACAGGATGTGGACTCTTTAACATCTTTAGTTCGAAACCGAATGATGCTCTACTTTAGCTAATACTGGTAGGAAAAGGCAGTTTCTGAAGATTAAAGCCAATCCTTAAACAACATTTGTAATTTGAATGCCCAAACATCCCCAAATTCAATAAATCTACAAAATCTCTGCTTGAAATGTAGATGAGCTATTAGATGGGCTATTAGGTGATTTCCAAACCTTCAAAATCACTTGAAATTTGATGTTCAGCTTTTCAGGAATGTAAAGGGTTTGGTTTAGCCACATTAAGCCAAGAAGTTGCATCACGGATAGACAGTCAACCAGATCTTTTTTCATGATATTACAGACAACTTATGTACTGTAGTTTCCAGACAATTCTCTTGGAGTTTCACGAAATGAAGACCCAAGTCAGTTTAAAAGAGCAAAAGGCATAGTCTTACCAAGGAGGAAAAAGTTTCCGGGCAGACTGTTCTCGGTCAGATTGTTGTAGGATGCATCCAGGATCTCCAGCTTGGGGAAAGAACCGAACCCACGGGGCAAGGCATACAGACGATTCATTCTAATAGATCAAAGTACAATACAGTTTCATATGGTTGCCTGCCACATCACTGCAGCTGGCCACCTGATTTCAAGATTATCAGAGCAAAGGGTGACATATTGGGCCTCAGTGCACTTTGCAAGCTTTGCAGGGTCATACCTCTTTAAACATCAACTTGACAGTTTTTAATTTGCTCACAATGCAAACCTCAACCCTTTAAGTTTCCCTCAGTCCCTTCCCCCTCCCCCAGGTCATCTTAAGGCTGAGTTAGGTTTTGCTGCCATAAATAAAAATAAATATTGAATTGAATTCAACCTGCATTTCCATCCACTTTGAGCACTAAGCTTTGTTGACAATAAAGGTTTGGCAGAGTTGAGACTGGCGAATACCTCATCAATTTGACAGTTTAAAAAGTCCTGACTGTTCATCAAATCTCAGCCGACCCCATCTTTCATCCTGCTTTCCCCTCAAGTGCTAGCCTGACCACCTACCCTATGCTGAGGTGCTTGAGATTCTGCATGGAGCTGAGGTTGGTGGGTAGCTCCTCAATGTAATTGTTGAAGAGGTTGAGGGTCTCCAGTGAGGTCAACTCTATCATGTGTGGAGGTACGGCTGCAGAAATGTAAAGCTGAAAAAATTAGAACTTTCATACAGATAGTGAATTTGGTAATTCAAAAAAGCACATAAACATGTATTAAAGAGCCATTATATACATGTAGCTTCAGAATGATTCACTGTGTAGTTGTTAATCTGAAGTACATGTAGGACTCCCCTTTTCCTAAACTGACCTAAATTTTCTTCTCTCTGTTGGTGCATTGTTGTACAAGCACATACCTGGTATCAATAAGCAAGCAAGCAATCCCTTTTCAGAATTTTTAGCGAGGAAATTCTGGGTTCACAAACCCATGCACAAAACCATGCCTCCCCTGGATGATATCATAGTAACAGCACTATCGGGTATCCAGGAAAGCGTGGATCATTTTAAGGATGTGGATATGTAGCCGTCACTGCCAAATGATATTTAGCCAGATACATGCACAGTAACTGTTTTTGGGGGGACTTAAAAATTCTTACCGTGACAAATCTTAGTCTGGTCTGTATTCATGAGGTGAGAATCAGATCATTTAATGATTTTGGATGTTTTTCCCATAAAAAAATTCCCCGGAGCCATGAATCAGAAAAAGAAAATGTAACACTCTGTACTTAAATGTTTCATTAAATGAAATGAGTCAATTTCAGAAAAAGAAAAATATTCTTGATATTTTGGAATGAAAAAAAGTCTAAGCTGTGAGTCGAACCCAGCTGGGAGCATTTCATGTGAGCTCTCAAGATACATGTACATGTACATGTATGTACCGCACCACTTCAAATCTGGTGGTAATTTAATAACTTGAAAGGCTTACTCCCGTATTTGCACCAGAGAGGTTCTGTTTATTTGTAGCCAGCTAAATACCATTTGGTTAAATCACAGAGTATGGTTACATTTAGCCAATGACAGCTAAATATCCACTTCTTTAAACTTTTTTGCAGGTGCACTCTTCAATTCATTTAATCTACATGTAATAGGGGAGTCAAATACATGTAGTTTTCACAGTGAAGAAGAGTATAAAGTTGAAGAAAAGAAATGTGTCAAAGAAAAAGCATAACAGTGACACTTTAAGGAAAATCATCACTCTTTTGAATTAATATCTCAAAGTGAATTTTCATTTACACATAAAACTTACCATCAAGTTTGTTGTGGCTCAAGGTGAGCCTAGTTAGATTCTTCAAAGTAACTGTGATGTAAATACACAGTAAAAAATGATATTTAAAATACAAAGAACAAATTCACTTAATTTAAGACTCTTTACAAAGCCATTATCTCCCCAGCATAGGGAGTGTGGCCTGTTTCGTCATTTTCATAACTTCTCATTTTGCATTCAACTTCAAGAAAAAGTCTAATTAATATACAGATGAAGACTCCAGCGGCAATTTTTCAGTATTTATATTGATAAATATACATTACTGTTCCACAAATTTCGTGATAATATTCCAATATTCCCGCGATCTTGGTAATCAGTGTCGAGTATACAGTAATGCATGGCTGATTGAGTACTCACACAATCCGGGTATGTCAACAAGTTTACTGATGCTTCTGTCACTCAAATCAAGATCGGGACTGTTGTGTTCCCTGGCCTCTTCCACTTGTTTCTTCACAGATTTAGACATTGTCGAAAGCAAACAAATAAGTAGATTGTGAAAAATTGGGACGAAATCCAGTGACACGATCGAAAAGCGTCAAAAACACAATACAATCTTTTGCATCGAATTACATTGAGTGGGCTAATACCGGAAGTGCCTAGGAACACCCCATGTAAAACAACGCACATGTGGAAAAAGTAGTCCTTTATAGTTTTATTAACATTGAAAAAACTTCATTTGTAGCACGGTAACGAATTTCAAATTTCATAGGCTATAAAAATGAATCCCTCCAAATATTTTTTTCGGTCACTACACCTCAAAGTATAATTTAAGAGGAGGGATACAATGCATTTTTCATGTGCATGGTTTTCCCGTCATGCAATTTCTAATGCTGCTATGCATTGCTCCGGTGGACCGTACCTCGGAAGGAAGGTTAGTCTCACGTTTCTGAAATAGCTGGAATATTTTTAACCATGGGTCATTTTATTAATACACATGCGTTTGTGTGTTTTTGCTACGCCTATTCCACAGACAGAAATTAGAGCAGATGTTTTCAGCTTTGTTTCAAAGATGAAATGAAAGTGTAGGCCATGGTGTGTAAGTTAGGCCAACTTGCAGTCTAACACCTAGCCCCACGCGTCATGCACGTAGGCATGGTACATGTTAGATCCGTAAACAAAGCCCGACGAGTACTCCTCCGTTGTACATGTATACTGGGCCCAGGCCTGTCCCAATTCATAGGGTTTCTTTCGAAAAAGTTATCAGGGGGCATAACTAAACATCTGGTTGATTTTATGAGCTGAAATTGCACCGGTAGCCTATGTTCACTACTTACGGTGTAAACCATCCGCTAGGTTGTTAATTGTAGAAAACTTGCCTTTTCCTCATTTGAGGAAAAAAATTTTGCCTTTTTTTTTTTCCTACGTCAGACGAAGTTTGCCCTACTTGCACTAAAGTGACGGCTATTTCGTCACTTTTGTGTCACGTTACAGAGAGCGAGCCTAGCCGCGCTACCAATGATTTGCCGCAAACAGTGTGTGACTGGACAGGGAACCAGCCAAGGGCATTACGTATTAGCTGCGACACAAAACAAAAAAGTTTGGACTTTTATATGAGCACCCTAAAGCTTTCCAAAACTGTATATTTTCTGATGTATGGTGCCTTGAAAACATGGCCTGTGATAATTATATGTTGACCATGGGCGCTGCCATTTTAAAAATGAAAGCAGTGCTTCTTGCATCGGATTTCAAGGCACCCGACAACCGCTCTGTTGTAGGTTGAACCACACACAACTGGTTCTGTTTCACCTTACATGACAGACGAACAGGGAACCAGTGAAATGAAATTTGAATAACATTAATATGCATGTCACTGTGCCATGCTCCACGTACGTGCTGTAGGCGTACCGTACACTAGCAAAGTATGCGCGCAACTTATTACTAAGCAATACTGTGACAACATGAATTATGCATCTACAGCACCCGTTTCCAGTATATGTAATGTGTTGTCCAATGACGTATGAAATAAGAGACAAGCTGCAGTTGGTGAACGTCGTCAGCACTCCATTCAACCAGTATAAATTTTTCTTTCATTCGAAAGCGAAAGGAAACTGAATAGAATTTAAGACCAGTGAAAATTTATGTACGTGTGTGCATAAATTGTCTTGGCAGCAAAGAGTGTGAGTAGCCCTTTGAAATATACAGGGGTATACATAAACTTCAATGCCATTTGCTCTCAGGTTCCTCAGAAAGGTTCACATTTTTCTGTAGAAAACCCTGTAAAATTACACGTATCATATCACCTTACTTTTCAGTGTAAGTTGGATATCGCAGTGCAAAACAAGGATTTCAAAAAAAAATTTTACCCCGAGTGCACAAGATCGAAAGAAATTATCAGGGGTTCCTTCTGCATGAGTTTAAAATTCTGTGATTCAGGGTGCCATGCACCCATCTTGTGCAGGCTGCATGATAGGCCAAAATGGGACATTCCAAATTTGAGCTTTCGCTCGGTTTGCAGCTCTGCCCACTTTTTACTGCGTCACTGTACCAAACACCACTATACCGAACATTCGGCTGTACCGAACATGGTCCTTGGCTCCTTGTGCACAAAACCTACCAATCATTATGTAGTTGCAAATTAACTGAGATTCGCCACAGCATGCATCAGAGATCGATCCTGAGTGGTAGCTTCATGACTTATAGGATAAACTAAATATCAATTTTGTAACTCAAGATTGAAGTGTACAGTGTAATTAACAGATACATTTCTAGAAACCTCAAATGTGAATGCAAAGGCAAAACATCACGAAAACAGCGAATTATAGTATCACAAGAGGGTACATTTCAGTGAGACGAGAGGGCTCTATTCAACATGGCAATGAAACGTTCGGCAGTTAATTTCGCTATACCGAATGACCGCTGTACCAAACATTTAGCGTTAACCCTGTCATGTTTGTTATAGCGGCATTCCACTGTAGCAGTTCCATGAAATAAATAATCCATGATCTGTAGTGTTAGCACCTTTGTGAATGAGGCAAGCAGATACAGCAATTTGGTGGTCAATTGAAGTTTTTAGTGTATTCCCAATTCTTTGGAAAGTTTTGGTGAGGAGCTTAGAATCTTTCAAAATTGATCATTATTCCAGAAGCACATTTTTTATTGATAATCAGATTAAACTATAATGGTTAAAAACACTGAGTAATAAAGTCTAGATCCTTTCAGAGTTTACCGTTAAAGATTGCTTTTGCTTATTTTTTTTCCAATTCAATTTCATGTGCTGTTTGCATGTTTGTGCATATGAAACAGTTCCTTTTGTTGCCAAGAAGTACCAACTCCCAAATTTCAGTCACTTGGCAATGCCATATTGTAAGCAGTTCAGTTGTCTGCCACATTACTCATCCTTGTTTTTCACTACAGTGAACTCAACTTCACTTTAATAAATGTAATTGAATGAGTGATTGCAGTAATGTTCAAGTACAGCAGCCACTGTAAAAGAAGCACGAGAATCTGTTAAAACATTTTGAAGAATTTTTTGTAAAGGATGAATGAATGTAGGTTTTGAAGTGTTGTAGATACTAGGATTTTGTTTGAAGGGGTTAACTTTTATTTTTTCCCCCACAAATTTTAGTAAAACGCACAAGTCTTACTGACTGTTAATAATGTGGAATTGCTCACAAAATAAGAAACCCAAATTAACACAAAGTAAAAACCTCAGAATCAATATGGTTAGTGTGTTAAACTTACTGGTCTGAAACAGATCAGTGATGACATCGTTGAACAGCTACACTCAGTCAGAAACCCCGAGAACAGTTGATTTAAGAACAAACCACTCCACAGGAAAGCTGTGACTTTTCTGTCCTCACCATTCAAATTTGCTTTCCATATCACCAAACATGCTGCATTGTCAGATGCTTGGGCTAAAATGCACTTTTTTTCCCGTTTGGATGCTGTTCCTGTTTTCCAACAGCCACTCAGTCCTGGATGACTGGCTGTCCAGTAAGTTTACACTGGCGGGCGCTCTGATAAATTGCACCTGCATTCTCCCTGGGCAGTATAAAACTGCGGGGTCCAGTGTTAATGATGTGTTCCTTACAGTGTCACTCAATACGTCTCGGGAAGGTTGGAGTCACGGACCGTGATATATTAGGAGCAGTACAAATTGTTGGCATTGTTGAGAGAGGCACGTGTAAATGCAGTTTTGCAGATTCAGGAGACCTTACATTAAAGTTGTGTGCATCAGCCCAATGACGTGTGTGCAGAAAGTATCATTAGCTCTTAAATGATGTAGCATAATCATGCACGAATTTATGCAGATGCTTTTTTGCTTTTTTGTTTTTGTATTACGCAGTACATGTATATTCATGATCAAAAAGGCTGTTCAAATGAAAGTGGGTATCGCATGTAATATTTTTTTTCCAAACGGTTGCATGTCATTTAATGAGATGTAAATGATTCATGCAGTGTAGTCGAAGCATGTGATCTGAAACATTTTCCTTCTTTGCTCAGACCAAGAGAATTGAACGAAAGAGTAACACTTTGCATCAGGACTGTAAAATACAGCATGGCCTAAACCAAATCCAGTCCTGCATCTTTAACGATGCAGCGAGCCTCCTTAGCCAGCATCTCCCGCTCGCAGCATCTGTGCACCTGTATCACACTCACAGGGCACTGAGCCTGAGTTCCGGCAGATTGTGTGAGCCACATGCTCGCACTGCATGTGTCTGGGATCATAATCAGTAACAAATGCTTGGCGGCCTTCGCTTGGGGGCACATCAAGTGTCGTGAACTACATGTACGTGTAATTCATACATGTATTCTCAGATCTTTTCTTTTCTACTCTGGGTTCATTTGAAATACAGTCTGTACTGCTGGCAGTAAGCCTTCATGCGTTGCTATTCTTGGCTGCCCTGAGGGGTGCATGAATAACACCATCGTAATCCAATGCATTTGCTGTCCTTGTCAGGAATGATTGCCTCATCCCTTCCGTGGATGGAAAAACGTGTGACACTGGTGTGTCTATGTCTATGTATATGCGTCGTATGTAGGTTCACAGTTGGGTCATTTGGATCACAAAAGCAACACAAGGATCTGTCATGTGAGAGCTGTGTTCATGTTTTAATCCCCAACCCCAAGGAACCATTGAAATTATGTAGAATCTTATTTCATTCAGCATGGTTAAGGTTAAGTTGAAATAAAAGGTGGGATTATTTTTTTTCTTTGTAGCCAAATTTAACACTCGTGATGTCAGAACATCAGCCTTGGCCACGAAAGATGGAGATGTGGACCACAGATACACAAACATGGATAGACAGGATGGATATGTGCAACGGCTTCACATGTCAAAGGTATGTTTGCATCCATCTTTCTAAATAAGTACACATTTTGACATGTCTGCAGTAGTTGTCCAACTATATGTAAATAATTTTACCAAAGTTACATAGAATTGCAAACACTACTGTCATTTTAGTTATTTCTGTAATTCTTCACCTTCGCCTGCATTTCCCTACATACATTTACATTTAAAAAGAAGATTTGGGGGATTACTTTTTTCCTGTGATTTTGCAAATTTCTTTTGAGAAGGTTTTACTTTTGTGGACCACAACCTGCGTTTGCTTTGACCATGAAAGTCGAAAGATTTGCAGTGCACAGATGCTTCCAGTTCACATTTCATCAGTGCGTTATGCTGAATCCAGGCGATTTACCTACCAGCAGTGGAATTCCAAACATTAGAATGACTCATTTTTTAATCCCGAAACTTGCAGACAAATTCTGCGAAAGCTAGCAGTTAAAAAAAGTGTTGTTCGCCACTTAGTACTCAAAAGCTCATTTATCACATGAACAGCATAAAAGAGAGGAAAATAAAGTTGTCAGAATCAGGATTTGATTAAATCACTGGGCACAGTAATCAGTAACAAGGAAATATCATACATTTAAAGGTACCTGTGTGTGCTTGGCTGGTCTTAAATGGTCGTTGTCACCACTCCAACATTTGGCTATTCACGATTAGGAATGGCAACCCCGGATCCTATTGGATGCACCGACAATCAAAATAAATCAAACGATCTTCTGGAATTCCAATATTCTATATTCCAATATTTACAACTTGAGCTTGATGTGGTATGAGAAAGTGAACTTCTTACATAATTATTTCATTATTTACAGGTCTGTGATTAAGTCATAAAATTCAATTATACTCAATTAGTCAATCAAGTTACTCTGGGATCATCACATTGATCAAAAAGAAAGGTTCCATCAGATATCCACTTTAAATTATTAAAAAAGCAAAATTAATCGGTCCACCATCTGTTGAAGTTTCTGTAGCCCCTGAATCTGGCGTCTAACAAAACTGCAGTAGATCAGCCCAAAGTTCGGTCAAGCAGAGCAAGTTCAGAGTCTAAGCTCGTTAGCGGTACACAAGGGACTCTTCTCAGTCATCGGTAGCGTCAATGGGACCAATCTCAACATAAGGCCATCTACAATAAATAAATACCCAAAACCTTAACAGTTTTAAAGACCGAAATAAGCGAAATCATGCTCCAATTTGTTTCTTTGTCAACCTCGATCTCCACAATTTCAAATTACCACAAATCTTATATCATTATCCTTACTTTCATAAATGTAAATTTCCGATCTTCTCGAAAATCATCAGCCTCGATCTCCAGGATCAGCTTAATAGTCTTACTACTACAATTACAACGAAACTACTACAATTACAACGAAACTTCTTCATCTGCAGGCTTTTACTTTGATGTATAAAAGCAAGAAAATCATCCATATTACATCACTTATGGTAATTATCTGAATAACTGTCTGGGAGGTGAACCATGCCAAGAGGTCATTAATGCCGACCGGGACGTCTATGTGGCTGGAATTAGGCCATAGTTTGCTTTATTCTTACAAAAACAGATTTTTCTGTCCTTTTCCAAAGTGGTCAAACAGATCCACAACATCTAAACAAAGCTAAGGCTCAGATTTCTGATGCTAGGGAGTCAAAACCGGTCTTGCATCACACAATCACTCTCCAAACGTCAGTCTCAAGCAAGTCAAAATGACCTCTGACTCTCTGTCTCTCTCTCACATAAGAAAATTCCAACATGCACCCAAAGGTTCAAATTGTGTCCGATTGTACTTGCAACCGATTCTTTATCGACTGGCATGATTTGATTCACAATAATACGAACAGGCGTTCTGACAATTACCACGGCCTGAACAAAATACCGTTGCGTAAGATGGGAAGGCGTTTTCCTACTTCGCGAATGCCTTCTCTGAATGGCAGAGTTACATCTACGCGGGAATGACAAACAAATGATTGGCTAAAACTTTTGGACGATTCCATTACCTTCGGGGTAAATTGATATAAACCGGTACTCAGAATAAAAACAATGAACATAACACGGTAAAAACATGATCGGAAAACACAACATTCAATTTATGCACTGGTTGCACCGTAACAGTCGTTTAGGCATGTTAAGACTGGATCAGGAGAAAGGATAAGGACCAAGCCAAAGGTGACGAATATTATCGGCATCTATCCACCTGAGCCAGTCTTAACAGATTTATTGTCATTCTTAAATACCTTTTGAGTTACAAAGGTAAAACAGTTTTTATTTAAATGATACATTTCCAACAATTTCACTTAATTTTTTCAAACACCTTATATTGAGTTTGGTTGGTGCTTGGCATGTACAGCTTGAGGTGAGGCACAGCCAGCTGTTGCCTTATCATCCATTTAAGGCCAGCCATGCGATGGGACCTTGACCAATAAGAATGGCTAAACTGTCTCTTGTACACGTATTTATAAATACTCGATACGAGTGAATGAACACTTCTGCCCAGTGATGAGTATACATGCCGTGAGGTAAGCCGTAGAACTCTGACATGGACATGCTTCCGTCTGTCTCTTTTTTGTGTTGCTTTATTTCACCTTGTGTATTGTCCTCAGGTCTCTTTGCTTTTCCTTACTCTTCTACTTGTTCATCGAAGCGTTCTGCCGAATGGCTGCCTGTGATAATCAAGATTATGAGAGCTGAGGGCAGTGCCTTTTAGGGAAATATAAGAGAAATGATTTACCACCTGACACCCGAAAGAAATTTACAGAATTGTGCATTTGGTATTCTACAGAATTTTGCCTTTGAAGATGTTGAATATTAGAAATTCAACAAATTCTTTACAAATTCATCAGTTTCAAAGCATAATCTGCAGACATGACAATTTCTGTATTTTCAAATCGGTTTCAGAAATTGTTTTATGGAGAAAAAACAACTGTTTGACAATTGTGTGACACACAAGCTGAAAGTTAAACAAACTTTGTAAGCCTTCAGTATGTATGCCATAGCCTTCAGGTTGAATTTAAAATGTTTTCACTTTTCTCCATAATTTGTTTTCCCTTTTTTCTCTGAAGGGCAGCTCCGGGCAGCTTTGCACCTGAATGATGCTTTTGTTCCCTAAGGTGTCTGTGATATCAGTAAGTAATGCCCGTACTACAAATTTTGCAACATCTGGTCTAAAATCATATACTGTACTGTAGACAAAACCTGCTTCAGGTTACCAGCCAATGCTGCAGTCGAGACTTTCACCCTGTGATGACAAAAGATGCCTTATTCTGAGATGGGCCTGCAGTCTGCAGCTTCTCCACTTCATCTCCCTTACTAATCTCTCCCCCATCATCTTAACTTGTCTCTTTCCCCATCCCTCCTATCATCCACCGTCCCACCCTGCTTCTTGGAGTTGCAGCTGTCTATGGTGCTCTTTCCGTGAGTGGAAAAACAAGGCCGTCTGAGGGTAGTGTCTCTGAAACTCAAATCAGTAAAGGCCTGATGAAAGTTCAGTGACACCAGTCTGCACATGATCAGCTGATTGGGATAGACATTAACCGAAGGTTATCATACAATTTGTATAATCAACCCATGAAAACAAGGTTGCTATGTGTACATGTACTGTACGGTTTGCATGTGTTGCTCTTACACATAGGATAATCTGCAATGAACTGAAACAGCATTTCAAATCAGTTGGCAGTTCTCTCTTTGATAATTTATTGTTGTAATAGCTTGTGAATATCTACAGTAAACTCCGGCACTCTCGGGACTCAAGAAATTATGACGACTTACGTGAATGCCGACTCGTGCTGTAATTCGTCATTTTTCCGACTTACACGTATGCATGTATTGCCTTTGTACATTATGATTCCTTGCACTAATTCAACGGCTTTGATTTACCCTGGTTTATTTCTACCTCCATGGTCGATCCCAGCAAATTCGTTGTCGATTGTTATCCTCACAGGCTGCAAATTCGATAATTGATCATATGCCCCTGAGGACAAAGCAAGGATGGCCAGCCACTTGCATATCACATCACGACAAGGAAACTGATACAGTTTTTTTAATGCCGACGTACACAAAGGAATTTTTGTGGTTTTGTGGAAAAGGGACTGAGAAAAACATGCCGACTTATACAAAATGACGACTTATAAATACTGACTTAAAAATGAAATTTTCAACGGAAATGCATTACAGATGATCGGGACTTTTGTCAAAAGGCCGACTTAGACGGTATGACGAGTAACATGATGTGGACTTAGTCGAAGTTTTCTGTATTTCATTGTGGGTTGGCACTCAAGCCTTTTGTCATTGTACTTTAGATACTTCGTTACTTTCTTAAGACAAAAATTTGCTTTTTTCCAGGTTATTGAGATGCCTCGCTCTTCAATTGCGTCTGAAGACTGGTGATGAAACAGGTGTTTGTGCTTATATTGTGTCATTGAATTGAAAGATGTCTTTATTGGAATGACATCAGTCTTGAAATTAGAAAAGCAGTATAAAGGCATTGGATGAATTATGAGTAATATGAGCCAATGTAAAAGCTGACGTGACTGCTTGCCAAAGCCCACGGTTCAAGTGCCCAGTGATGACAAACAATGCCGTGAGTTGAGCTGCTGAATACTGACTCGGATGCCTTTCTTTGTCTCTCATCTCTCACTGTCTTCCTTCTGATATCTTTGTTTCTGCTGCTCCCCTCCTCCCTGCCTTTCTTTCTCTCTCTCTCTTTCTCACCCCCTCACTTTCTTCCTTCTTCTCTGTCTGAGAATGTGTTCAGCTGGATAGCTGGCCATGATAGTCAAGATTATGAGAGCTGAGGGCAATTAACCGTGGTTTTCTAACGATTCTGCACAAAATCCCAAACAGATTCATTGTGGCATTTTGAGAGACTTTTTGTGTTGGTTGAACTTTAGTAGTGCACACGGCGCAGTTGCAAATGAGTGGAATTTCAGTGCGGGTTTATTCTGCCCAAAGTGCCATTTTGGACCATGCTGATGTGTAGTGTAATCATGCGACTTCATGTAGACACCTACACGTACTTCACTGAATGTTTAATAGGTGTAGACGCTGGTTGTGCTTTACACATTATTTTTATCCAGTTGCATTTTCGTCAGATGACGAATTCCCCTCTCGGTAACAAAACAGTGATTTGCCCATCATGTTGACTGATCTCTAAAAATTAATCAGGTCAGGTTTGACCATTTTAGGAGTGGAAAAGTTTAGTTTTCAAGTTGAGCACCAGTTGTTCCCATTCATTTCAGATCCGGTTGCCATCCTTGAAGAAGCCTCAAAATCCAGGAAAAACACTGAAAGTAAGCAGTTTCCCTTGTCAAGTTGTCGTGGACCCTGTTGGGCCAACTTATATTCTTATTTTTGGTATTTAATGTAGGCAATCATTTATTTACCTGTTAAGAAAAGTATGAGAAGAGTATTTATTTTTCTTCCACTGTGAGTATTTCTTCAAGCTGACTTTCTGATCATTTCCCCAACTACATTTTTCAACACATAATCCTGCCCTCCCCGGCTCTGAAGGCATCTTTTCATGTGTTATTTTACAGTCTGTTCCACACGCATCAATTTCCCATGTGGCATTCCTGTACACTGAAATGGACACCCTCTACAACTTATGAATACGGAGCACAGCGTGCACTGAAAACACTTCTGTGGAAGGGCACCTTAAAAATGAGGATTTTTTTGTTTCTCGCAAAAGCGATATTGTGTAGACCTGTGCAAGTCCATGCGTATGTCTTAGAGATCCATACTAATGTGGACCCATGATGGGTGCCCCATGATGACAAAGATGCCTTATTCTGAGGCCAGTCTGCAGCCAGTGTCATCTAAATCTTCGCTCTTTTTCACCTTGTCTTTCCTTTTCCTGTGACTACCACTGTTCCTTGCAGGCTCCTCCCCTTTTTTTTTCCATCTTTCAATTTGTCTTCTAAAATTGGCTGCAGATAGCTTTTGAAAAGAAAAAAACTGATGTCTGAGGGCTTGTGACAGTGGAACCCAATGGCTGTGCGCATCGGCTTGTTTAATGCCTCATCTTGTGCGTATAAGCGGAAACATTTTTTTTTAACCATATGCTGCCAGGTTTAATTTGAAGTTGCATGTCGTATTTCTGGGGGATTTTCAAGATTTTTCGCTTTCAAAATTCTTCAAAACTTTATAACTTCATTAATATTGGACATGTACATGCACACCCGCACGAATGAATGTCTGGTCGCTACTCTAATCTGACAGACATCTATTGATGCCGACTATTTCAGCCAGGCCTGCCGCCTTGTAGAGAGCCCAAATGATGTAGAGTTACGTAATTTTCTTATGTTCCCGAAACTGGCCCAGTGCACTGTTGGCGTCTTATCAAATGCAGACCAAATTAGCATGCAGCAGTATTGTGTCACTCACCCCTGGAGTGCTTTTGTCCCTGGTGGTAATCCACTTGGGCTAAATGCCACAAACAGTGGTATAATCATTCAAAACCACATGGATTTCCTCCGCTTTTGACAACTGAAGAAATGTTGGCAATTCCTAGCAGTCCTTTTGTTCTGAGTACAGTCTTTTGTTACAGGGCCAAGCTCCTTTGTTCAATTTCTGGCATCCCAGCTTTGCATATAAAGCTAACGTCTCCAGTACCTAGACCAGGGGCGGTTTTGACCACCTGAACCCCTCCCCTCCGAATCCACACCTGTGTACAGTGTTTAGAGGCAAATTTAAGTTGGGTTCACCTATACTTTTATTTTCTTTTTTCAGTTTGTCACAATCTGGAACCAATCTGACCCACCAGAGTGCTATGAGCGGTGTCTTGCGTTTGATTTCAAAGTACACATTGCATGCTGTTGGTCAAATGTGATCTGTGGTAAAGTGTGAAGATCTTAAAGGTTAATTGGGGAGTGATTGGACATCTTATGAGCAAATTAGTTTGAAAAAATGTTAACCACTTCCTGCCGGGGACTCCGGAATCGGAGATGTATGGTTTATATGCGTGGCCGGTGTCTCCGAACTCGGACAAAGGAAACAGGGCCCTGTAACACAAGACCATACTCCGAACAAAAGACCAGGCTGCTGGGCATTACCGAAATTTTTCACTCTCAAAAGTGGTGGTAATTCAGCCTTGTTTTGAAACCGTACACCGGGGTTTGGGGCATTGAGAGCAAGCGGATTACCACCAGGGACAAAAGCGCTCCACCACCGCAGCAATGAGCCACACAGCACTGCTGCACGCTAATCTGGCCCCGATTGAAAAAAGGTCAGCAGTGCAGTGAGCCAGGTTCGTGAACAAAAGACAGTTGTGTAACACCGCACAATCTGGGCTCT